AAAGTATGTAACCTGACCACACAGTGCATAGACCTACCATCATCAATAGGGTTTCCCTCATGCATGGTCTCGTCATCTTCATCACTGTCCAGAAGTTTTTCTGTAGAAGTCATACAAGGTGCAATTTACTGTTTTACTCAAACAAAAAGGAATGGATGGCAAATACACCAAAACAAATTACATACCATCTGGGTCAATCTCAACTTCATCCAAAGTTTTCCCACTGAACTCAGCCACTCTACCCTGCTTGAGAGCCATCAGGAGTTTGCTGACTTTAGCAAGCTGCAAGGTCTTCTCAGGCAGCCGGTAATATTCTCTATGGACTCTAATGTCGTGGCCGAGAAAATTGGCCAGTTGGTCCATTTCTGTGTTTGTCATCTTTAGCACTGTTGACAAGGTTGCGGCATGCTTTCTCAGCTTGGTCGATGTCAGTGTCCTGGGACACGCAGCACCACATTGCTTTGCAAAGTACCGGAAGTAATCTGATCCTCGGAAGTGTGTCATGGCCCCTGGTCGCGCAAACAGGTATTCATTGTCTTTAAGAACCCTACAAGCTTCTCTCTGTGACACAAGGAGTTCTATGGCACTCAGCATTTTAGGAGTGAGAAGAATGGGTACTGGGCGTCCACGCTTTCCTCTGACAACAATCCTTGTGAAGTGCCTGCAGAGTTTTTTCTCCACCTCGGAGAGTGCCCAGTCCAGATCATCGTGTGGAACAGAGGTGTCTCTTGATAGAAATGCAGATAGGGGCATGCATGCCACCTCTCCCTCTCTGCGCCGGTTGAAGAGGATGAGCTGGACGAGACACACCTTTGTCAGCTCCTTCCAGACTTTTGCTGAGGGACTATCAGAGAGGAATGAGTACCATTTATCTTGTTCTTGAGTGAGATATACGTGCAGTTTTTGGACATCTTTGGTGAAGGGCATGACACTGGGCATATTCCATTTTGCTTCCCTGATGTTCCTCAATGCTGCAGCTGAGATCAACTCGTGCCACTTTTCCTTATGGACAGCTTCAGAATTGGTGGCATCCTTAACAAGCTTTTCATTGTTTGAGATTAAACCCTTGGCTTTTAAGAGTTTGCTTATTTTAACTAAGGAGTGCCCTAGTTTGTTTGCCAGTGATGGAATCAAGAACCTGTTTGATTCACTGTCATGCCCGCATGTAAACTTGACAGCTTTGACAGTCTCCATGAACTTTTGTGGATTTATGAAATCTTTCATATTTTTCAAGGAGGTCACTCTCCTGGCACCTTGAATCAACCTTCCCAATTCTCGCATCTTTTCTCGGACATGATCTTTATTCTTTGCTGATGTACCTCTTTTATTTAACAAATGTTGCCCAAAATCAACAATGACTGGGTCATTTTTTATTATGCGTGAGATCGGGTCAGGATTCATTGAGGTAATTACTCCCCACAACTCTTCACTCGTGGTTGTTGGTACGGGCCCTGTGTATGCACACATGGACTGAACACGGTTCTGTCCTGGCATGGGGGCAACTGATCCAGGTTTGAATTGACAATTACGCATGTGTCGCCACAGAATTTTCCGCAAGTAAAGTCCTTGACAGTATGCACAGTGCATAAAGTCTTTTCCCTTTGCCTCATTAGGAGGACGTTTAAATGGCACTAATTCTCCCTTTCCTGACTCCATGACAGATGCATTGTGGGCATAGTTTCCTTTGTTTCGTATATAATTTAACTGTCTTTTCCTTTCCTTCGAGCCCTTTGGAAAGCTAAGAGCGCGAGCTACATCAGATTTATCTTCATGTGCACGTTCTAAATGCCTTGCCATCTTTGCGTAAGGCTTAGAACAATACAAGCAATAATGTCTCTTATCATACACTCTTTTCACACCCATTTTTTTGCATGGACCAACTACGATGCCTATGCTTTGACTTGCACTGGTTTTCTCATCTGCTCTGCTGGGAGGTTCTTCTGCTTCACTGGAATAGGATTCCTCTTTAGATGTATGGCTCTGTCTGTCAAATTCCATGTTGTCTGGCGTGGTAGAGTCACAGATGGGATATCGCATGGCAGATTGATCATCCAAAAAAAGATGTTTTGCAAGTGAGGTTGGTTTGCATTTGATGCTAGCCTCACTGTCAGTATCACTTTTGGAGGCGCTATCAGGGATGAAATCATCTTCACTTGATGGCGTAGAATCAAAAAGTTCATCTGAATCTTCAGGAATCGTGTCTTTCATCTGAAACATATTCAAATACTGTAATTGAATAATCCAAATGTAATTGAAAACGTTATTTTGAAATTCATTCAGTCACTAAATAAATTTTTCATGGACAAGAAAGTTGAAGTGTGACACAGATCTAAGTGATACAGAAAAATACTCGTCAACAATTTAAGTGCTCATCAGAAAATTTCATTGTAAAAATGTATCTTAATGACTGAGCATGTAGTAGGGATGCAGGGCAAACACATTTCAGCCAGCTTTCACCTTGTAGGCTGTGGATTGCTAATGGGTGTGTCATTTAAGATGTGAGTTGTCTAAAACATATGTTATCATGTATTTATGTCATCTAATTATGTCAACTATGACTACAACATGAAATCTTAGACCTTGAAAAACACACCAAAAGTGTAAAAAAAAACACAAAAAAAACCCTCTTTTTATTGATTTTGTTTTTCTCAGCATGATGGATGAACTTACAATGACACTTCTGGTCCGTCTCAGTCTTGGTATGAAATCCTCAATTGTGTCACTGTCACTGTGTGTCACAGTCATAGCCTGAACATAAGGAGTGACAAATATACAGAACATGTAAATATTTACCAGAAGACAATATGCAGAAGTTGTTGTAAAAGGATTTAGAAATTCCCTCCTAAGCCAAGCAGTGTCTGCTTTAACACATCTTAAAATCAAACAGGCTTTGTGATGACATTAAATCCAATTTTCATTTCCTTATGGGGACCACATGAAATCCTTTTACACAGTTTTTCCACACAGACTTGGTTAAGGTGTGGTGTGGGGACGTCGTAAGTGTTGAAAATAGAGCAATTATTAAACAAGCGGATAATCACTATGATCAATTAAATCTGCTTGAAATATTCTTCTTACATGGAACCTTCTGAATGCAGTGAATATATTTTGCTTGCTGTACTTATACACATGACTTTATCATGAAATGTTGTATCAATCATCATGGATGCTGAGATATGTTGAGAAAGGATAACATGAAAAATATATGGATATGAAAGTACCTGTTGAGTGTTGCTTGGACCAGCAGCATCCTCCATCTGACCCACAGTCACGGAGGGAAGAGAGGTCTCGACAGCCAAGTCACTGTGCTTAAGGGTGGTCATCTGCAACACATTTAGTAAAACAATATGTCAGAATATGATAGAATAAGCCAAAGGTAAATCTCAAGTAAACTCCATCACAAACTTCCCTTTCTACCTGGCAACCTCCATCCTCACACATCTTAAAATCAAACAGGTTTTGTTGGGACATTTTTTTTCCACAAAGTGTCACTTTCCAATGGGGGCTGGACTAGCAGCAGCATGATTTTCCAAGTAGTGACCGAAATACTTTTACACAGGTTCACATTTCAGTGTGAAAGTGTGATGTGGGGACATTGTGAAGTCCACAATAAAAGTAACGATTGATTAAGAGTATGATCTCAATGATAAATGAAATGTGCTTGAAATACATAGGCGGCACTAACACACTCCATGGGTAACATTGAACTGTTTTTCTACATGATACTACCATCAAAAATGTGGTTCTTCTGCATTGAAGCTTCCTAAAACAGTCAAAGAAATTTTAAGACATGAAAACGAGAAGTGAGTGAAAGGTTTGTACCTCTTGGACAGTGTTGCATGGCTGTCCATCATCATCCATCTGACTAGGAAGTAGAGAAGAGGGATGAGAGTCATCTAAAGCCCCGTCTTTGGCAGTGATGCTGGTCATCTGTAAACACATTGAACAATGACACAGTTTCAGAATAAGATCCATCAAGAGACCAATGCTTAATCTGGACTAAATTTTATTGCATGATTTATTAAATAATAAGAAGATGCATAATAATTTGAAATATATATATATACACACACACATGTTTTTGACAAAGGATTTCCATCGTCATTTTCTAAAGCACTGCTAACGGGGATCCCCGGGGTCACTGTCCACTTGCCGTGAGCAGTGATTCCAGGCATTACAGCCAGGGAGAGGCTAAGCTAGTGCTAGCGCGGCTACGTAAGGGGGTTTAGCATCTGCGATGCAGAGCCGCGTATCCAGATTTTTGACCCTCTCCTCCAGAGCGAACAGCACTACACTTTATGCCATGACCATTCTAACTAAAGGAGGACGAGGAGTAAAATAACATCACACACTCCGTAGCAGGAGCAAGAAGCTGTTATTGATGCTACGTGCTAGGCTAAGCTAAGCTAGGAGCAAGAGAGAAATTTAGCGGAGATTACACTGCCTCTGAGATGCGAGATTGCTTTTACTCAACCTCCGTATGTTTGACCGTACGGTAAACAACAAAACGAGTGTGTTCAAGGCTACAATATCAACAACAACAAGTCATAATTGACGTTCGCAGATGCGGACGAGTATAAACAGGAAATGATGAATACGCTCATCAGGAAGTGACAACAACGGTTGCCTGGTTACATATAAACATTTGACTATGAGGCTCATAGTCGACTGAGAGTCCTCCTTATATATATATATAAGTCACCCCTTATATATATGTGTGTGTGTGTGTGTTATAAAGATATGTATTTTTATAAGATAAGTTCGATTTTAGATTCATAATATATTTCCAGTAGGATTCTACCATTCTGATTAGATTCAATTCTGTTACACAGAGCCATTCTGCATAATGTGTACCATCTCACATACTTGTGTTCTCCATGGGCAGTCTTCACCTCCGTAGTCATAGTTTATTTCTTCTCCTTCTTGAATGTCATTCACAGCAAACAAACAGAGGTGTGGCTTTCCATTCACATCAATCCTTTTCATTTTACAGTTTGGCCTCCTGTGTTCATCATTAACCAGCCGCCCAAATGACCCATCTTCTCTTGAGGCATCAATGCTATAAAGAGATGACAAAAAGAAAAACATCAGATCATAGTACCATTCAGGATATTCTAATATGGTCTAGTGTGGTTTAGAATTAGTTGAATATTAAGTCTTACCACCATGTTTTCCCACTCCACCTGAATGCAAACATAAATGCAGTACATGATGGGTGGTAAACTCTTCTTCTACACTGATATTCTGAATCATTGATCAGATCCCCCCTATACTCAGCAACAAATTGTCCTCTGCTGATTGCAGTCTTTGCAAAAACACCACTTCCTGCAGAAGGAAGCAACAATATTTTCAACAAAGCAGGTAAAGTCATCTCGTCTGCCAGCATTGTTAGGTCCATGATAATACGTAAAACACAACTCCCAGGATAAAGATGACAAGTAGGAAAAATTACATTCTACACAAAAGCAAATGGTTAGAATTGATGAGTGCTGATGTTCTGCCTCTACAGTCTTACTTACAATTTAGCCATATTCAACTTTGAAGCTGAGAAAGGCCAAAAGTCCATGGGCACCAAATAGACAGTGAAAACTTGCATTAGATCTACAGGACTGTAATTATTTGAGCTTAACGATTATAGTTAATACCCTGCTCATCTTTAATGCTACCACAATTGCCCTTGTTTGTTCCATTTTATTTTGTGCTCGACTATGATAGGCTAGAACATGGATTCAAAACCAATGAGTTTTATTGAATAGAAAAGAAGCAACTGAATACAAAACAAATAGGCAAACTGGCAATAGGAGAAATAAAAGTCACCTTCCTGCTTTAACATGCTATTGGTCTTGAGTTTTTCAATTTTAGTTTATTTGTTCTATTCTATTTTATTCTATTTATCAGGAAGGACAGGGTATATTAATGAATGTTTTCATTGAATAAAAAAGTAAATATACCCAATTGCAGTCAAGGGTTTGATTTCCATTAGATGGGGCTGGTAAAAATATTTAGGTTAAAGGCTGTGACAAACACAGCATTTGCAGGCATGTACACACATTACTTTTACTTGAAAACCTTTGCAGAGCAACTGCACAGCAGAGAAAGGATCTTTTTTTTTTTTTAAAGCCTGGCGTGGTGCATAGACGGCTAGAGAATATGATCTGGCTTGAAAAAATGTTTTCAGTCAAAAGTTCTTTTTTTGTTATTTTTCTTTACTTCCTGAAAACTGTACCCCTCACCTCCCTTAGTGTAGTGCTACAACAAATGGTCTCCTATGGATTTAATTGCATTGCTGGCGCTTTCATTTTCAGTCTTTACAAAAAGCACCAAGCACAATACTCTGTCAACAAATTGTTGTTGTTTACATCAATGATGGTGACTGTTTATTGCAACCCTACTAATATCTAATTTAACCTCAAGTTTTGCATTTGATGCCCATCTGTTAAAAAATGTACATATTTTATGCTGAGTGTTTTGCGTATCATGTAATTATTATTACAACATATCACATCAGACCACACCTTACCTTTCACTGCATTGATGTACTTTATGAACAATTTGTCTGTTTTGTCAGTCCTTGAGGTAGCATGACAAATGGCATCCTGAAGGGGGCTGACCCTTCTTGGCATTTCAAACTACAGAGAAAGAAAAAGAGTTTTTATTATGTTCACTAAGATTTCTTAATATATCACATCAAACATCATCAAATGCAGTTAACAGTACATGTACCATGGCCTTTCTCAGGTACCAGTGAGGAAGACTAACTTTGTTTCACTGATATATCACTCTGGTTATGGATTCCACCAAAATACAAAATTAATGTTTGACTCATTTCTCATATTCATCCATGCCTCTTTACATTTTTCACCCCCCAAAAATTCCTGCCCCATGTACAGAGGACTAGGGGTTTTAATAGAGCAGAGAAAAGAGGTAATTAACACCATTTTATGGTCAAACACGGATTATAGTGATTCTTCTAAATATTTAGGCTTAATATTTAGCCCTTTAATTTGAATAAAATCCCTCATACTGAGTTACATGCAAGAATATTCTGAAATCCCATCAAAATACAAGGTTGCACTAAGCTCAGTACTTTACTCAATTAGAGGGATAATTAGCCAACTACAGCAAATTTAATTGTTCATACATATAAATTAGCTTACCTTGTGTTTTGCTTTTCCTCCGTCTTCTTTTGCTGGCATGTTTACTAGCTCTTGCTAGCATCTTCTGATGATTCTAATTGAAGGTGGCTTTCTACCTGTTACACTCTTTTGATGAAAAAATCCTCCTGTATGGGGACCAGGAAGTGGGTTGGGCTTATGCAAATGTGTGTGTGGAGCAGTAAGTGCAATAGGAGCTAAAACCATGTAGGGGGGGGCTACTGAGCACTGTTTACACACACACGATGATCAAAAATCATGGTTTTTGGGCCAATGCAAAAAACTTCAGAGGCACATGTAGAACACCTCTTGCATTGCATTTTAACTGTTTCCCTCATGGGGACCTGCTTTTTGGTCCCCATACTGCAACTGGTCCCCATGACGTGACTGTGTATACAGATTTTTGTCCCCATGACACAGGAAAACCAGTGCACACACACACACACGCACACACACACACACACACACTACCTTTCTGAGGACATTCATTGGCATAATGCATTACCTTACCCTTATACTATAACCATCACAACTCTAACCGTAACCTAAATCAAGTTCTAACCTAAACACTAAAATCAAATTTTAATCCTCAAACAGAGGAGGTGTGAGAAATTGTGAAACAGCTAAAATGTCTTCACTACTCAGACTGCAACTCAAAAACATATTTTTACAAGTACACACACACACACACACACACACACACACTGTGTAGAGGCCATCAATCATAGCATGGGGCTGACAGCTTTCCATCAGGGCCACAGATCTGTCTCAAAGAAAACACATAAAAATACTGTGCAGCTCCAGAGCTTCTGCAGAAGTTCCTGACACATAACCACTTTTTCCTGATCAGCATAAAACAGAATTTATTTATTTATTTTCAAATATTTATGATACGATTCAGATTGCACAATAATCATTTGTTTTCCTTAATTGCTTTTCCAGCCTCCACTGTCTGGCACTGCTCTCTCCAGTCCCTCATCTGTCTAATGTGAGGATGCAGTACAGTAATGGGTGACCTGGGTTTTATCAATGTAACTACTCCTTTAAATACTTGATTAATACTCATTTTTTATCACTGTGCAAGAAACATACATACATACATACATACATACATACATACATACATACATACATACATACATACATACATACATACATGCCTGTGCTCATTTGTTTTATCCTGGTGTTTCTAACTAATCCAACCATCTGTAATAATCCTTTCTGAGGGAGGTTAGAGTTTTCAGTTTGGTGTGCTAATTCAGTTGAATGATCATTTTATAGGATGGTTTGTGCTGCTGGTTGAACTATGTTGTGTCATGCTGAGGGATGCATCTGTTGTATAGCCTGCCCTTGAGCAAGTCAGTAGCTGAAAAAGATAAAAGGAAATGAAGATTGCGATGTGGATGAATGAGAGGCATCCAGGTGGATCTTTAGGAATGGCAGGGAAACGTCAACATGTTTGAAAAGCCAGTCAGTGCTAATACACAAGAACATATGGAGAGCTGGGAGGAGCGTGGGTCTGGAAGTCTGAGCATGGACCATTGTACAAATGGCCTTGAGGTAAGCCCACTAATGCTCCTCAGACTGACAGCCAGATGGTATCCATCTCTCTTTGTGCTATTATATAAAATGCATCAGTAATAGCTATGACTGGGACAATATGTAGGGGCCCGATATTAGAAACCCCTGGAAATAGCTTACTAGCTTAGATAGATAGATAGATAGATAGATAGATAGATAGATAGATAGATAGATAGATAGATAGATAGATAGATAGATAGATAGATAGATAGATAGNATAGATAGATAGATAGATAGATAGATAGATAGATAGATAGATAGATAGATAGATAGATAGATAGATAGATAGATAGATAGATAGATAGATGTTTTATTGCCATTGTGCAAAATACAACAAAACTTGTGCGGTAACTCACAGCATCAGCAGCAGTGCAACATGGTACTGTACAAGACTTTACGTCCTCTAGACTGGTATGGATACACAGCTGGTGCTGCAGATG